AAACAATAAAGGAAAGAATAATTATTAGTTTTGCTGCATATTCTTAAGGGGACCCCCCCCCCTTTCCCAACTCAAAATTTTCACATTTTTCATTTTTCATTTTTTGTGATTAGTATATAGATTTAAATGCCCTCTATCCATTGAGTACATTTTGAGAACTGAAAAACCACATCTTATATATAAAAAAGTCGAAAAAAATCACAAAATATGCTGAAAAAACCAAAAAAACACACATTTCTTTGCGTTTTTCTCAAAATCAGTTTTTTCAGCAAAAAAATGAAGTTTTCCCCCTTTTTCTCCGCCATTTCAAGTCCGATCGGGCTGAAAATTGTTTTGGTGAGACTTCGAGTGATTTGGGTTGGGCGTTTTTTTTTTTTTTGGATACCTTCTACCAATCAAGTTTGGCAGGCTTCGCAAAATTTTTAGGATCCAAAAAATCTAGAGATTTTGCAAGGTGCTCAGTATTTTGGTTCTCCAGCCTGAAGTATTTGGAATTTTTGAAAAAAAAAAAAACGCCCACCCCGATTGGGTCTGTCTACCCACAGCAAAAATTTCAGCTCAAACGGATGAAATTTGTGGATTTGCGGGGGGGAAAACTTTTTGCAAGTTTTTGACCTTGGGGTCTCTGGAAGTCCATGAAGATGACGTCTGGCAAATTTGTGTCTATGACAACTTTTGCTCTACTACTCGAGGTCTATCTACCCTGCAAGTTTCAGAAATTTTCGTTCGGCCGTTTCTTAAAAACGCCGGAAAGGGGGGGGGGTCCCCTTAAGCCATACTTTCCAGCCATATTTCTGTTATTTTACATTGTATATTTCGAAAGATGTTGCAACATTTGTATAGAATATTGCACAGAAAGCAGCGACATGTCATTTGAAAGAGCAAATGATGCTCTTTAAAATGCGCCAGTTTTCGCGTATTTCATGTGCCGGTTCATGGTTGAATTTATTAAAAATAATGAATACTATGTCTAATTACAACTGAACATACTCTGAAAATCACCCTAAAACCTCACCAAATTTGTTGCTTTCCAAATGATAATAATAGAGTTTTGTTCAGTTTTTTACGCTCTCTCAAATGGTAGAGTTGGAATTTTAAAAAAAATTAAAATTTTATTAAGTAATTGCTAATTATTATTAACTACTAATGAGCCTTATTCCCATATCACTTTTTGGCCACGAACATAGAGAAAAAATGGCCACACACTTGTACGATTGTTGCTAAGCGCGGCTCTCTCTCTTTAATGTTTCTTCCTTTATATCTCATCTATCTTCTCGATCGTATATACGATCGAGAAGATAGAGGAGATATAAAGGAAGAAACATTAAAGAGAGAAAGCCGCGCTTAGCAACAATCGTACAAGTGTGTGGCAATTTTTTCTCTATGTTCGTGGCCAAAAAGTGATATGGGAATAAGGCTCATTAATTATTAATTAATTAACCACAATATAAGTATAATTACTTTTTACCAAAATGTAGCCCATTAAATTCTGCATCGAATGGTATATAGAACAACTTTCAGATGTTGTAAAATAACGTAAAAATTAGCCAAACACTAAAAATGTGCCCTACTTTTCCCCTGCATTTTACTACAGTGTTTAGTATTTTGACTATAACATTGTCATTACTCAATGAAAATCAAAAAGTTTTTTTACCAAAATGATCAGCTTAAAAAGCTCTACAGAAATCGATATAAGAGAAAATTTTTAGAATATCCTTGCTATTCGTTTATGTGTGAAAATAAAAAACTCCAGGCTTTTTTCGGCCCTCACTGTATTACTTAAGTAGAACATATTTTAGTTAAAACAATTGCTTTTTTCGTTAACATACTTAATGTTAAAAAAGTTGATTCAATTTCATAGACTGTCGAAAAAAACAACACAATGGAAGTTTTTAAACACTTAAATTTTTACAATAATATTCTTTTTGGATGAACATATCTAAATATCAACAAAATTTTAGATCAAAATAATCCATTATAGAAGTTTGAAAAAATCTATCTTTGTTAGGTGGATTTATTACAACAGAAAAGAATGAAACAAGATATATTCTTCTTTTGAATAAAAAATTATTTATTCTTTCTTTTTGTCTACCTGTTGATATTGATTACATTTTGAATAATTAATCTTTTAAGTTTCTTTGTTCAGCTTATCAAATAGTATGGTGATCGAATATTCTGATTGGCTTTTTTTCTTTGTTTTGAGTGTAGTGATAGATTAAGTCATGATAAAAACGAACGAAATAAGAACTATGGTTTGATTCAGTGAGTGTAGCTACGAGGAAAGTAAAAGCGACTTCTACTGAATCACTTTTAAAGTAATTCAAAACTAACTGTATTGAAGCCCGAATGAAAATTTAATAGATGAACAATTCATACACTTGTGTAGAATTCTATAATCATCTCTAAAGTTATCAAGATAACATAAAGCACAAAAGCCTTGATACTAATTATTTCTTTATGTGTTGCTGGCTTAAATTTGCATTAATTGATGTTTGTACAGAACAAAATCAATATTTTCGTCATTCATAACTTGTCTAATTTGTGATGCAACAGATTTTCAATCTTTTTTCTCTTATGTAAATATGTAATTAGATAAGGGGCTCTATGAAACTAACGTTCATGCTATAAATTTATGTTCTGAATTAAATAACTGTCAGCTAAAATAAAAGAAAAGATGAGCAAAATAAATTTTTTGTATTAGTTTCAGTTTAGAGTTGTTTCAAACATCTACTGATATTACAGATAGTTTGAATTAGAAATAACTCAAGAATACAGATTTTCAAAACAAAAAAGACATAAAATTCTAATTCTAATAAACTGTGTTTTCGAAATTTACTGTTTCCTCTATTAAATATTCAAAACAGGAAGGAACACTTTATTGTAAGCCTTTACAGTAGAAGTTCTGATTTTTACAAATTTTAATTTCTAAAATATGAATTTAGTGATCCTTGTCTATAGTTGCCAATGAAGAGACAACGCTTAAAGTTATGCCATCACGAAACTTTTTTTCATTTCGAACAGTTACAATCTGCAAAAGCAGGCTATAATTAGATGTTGGATATAATTCCTTGACAAAGTTGATCATCAAACATTATTCAACATATGATCGAAATTTTTCTTGCTTTCCAGTTGAGATATTAAAAAAACGATATCAATTTTTATATAAAATCTTATCAGAAACTTTTCCATCGATTGATAAACAAACGTTAGATGGGGATATGAAAAGTTGACTGACGAAGTGTTATTTTTCCGAACCTTCGCTCCCACATATCGAAACTTTACTGAATGTTTCAGCATAAAAACATGTAGTTTCCATCAGATCATCTAGAAAATAGAATTTCTACTTCAAACTTTGTGTGAACAAAGTTCTTAACGAGATTCGTTAATAAAGAAAAATTTCAATTATTCAATATTTCAGGACAGAAAAAAAGAACTAGAAAAGTTACAACATGTCTAAAGAATTAATCTCATCTTCATGCAAAATTTAAATTCGAAAGTCGATTTTTTATGTTTCAAAAGAACTTAACAATATTTTTTCAATTTCGAATTCATTTATCTCTTTGTTTTTTTTAGGATTTGTTCATGAAAACTATTCATCATTTGAATTCGTCGCCATTTACAGTAGGGTGCAAAAAAAATTGCCGATATCTATACGAACTTTCTAGAATTTTTTTTCCTACTTACATAAAGAAGAACATTCTGGAACTATGTCGAATGTGAAGTTTAGGTACTATAAATATGACGACGGGTAATATCTTTTCTGAAGTCTTTGTCAGTTTGATATAAATGGCACCGAAAGTGAAGGTTAACCATCGATCAACACACCGATCAGTGACCTTACATTATTATAATCTCGGTCATCGTTGTGCTGTTGAAATTGCTCAACAAACAAAGATTCCTGTGCGTACTATCCAGTATAATTTAGCGAAAATTCGGAAAGAAGGTGGTGTGGAACATCGTCGTGGTAATGGTCGACCTCGGAAAATCTCAGCTGATGGCAATATGGCAATTGGTCAATGGATTCGAAGAAATAACGAAATTACCGCCAAGGAAATCGTCGAAAAACTTCGATCAACTAGAAATTTGAATGTTTCACGATGGACTGTGCGGCGTCAGCTTCATCGATTAGGTTATAAGAATGTTTTACCTCGAGGAACTCCAATATTGACAAATGAACAAAAAGAAAGACGTGTTCAATGGGCATTGGCACACAAAGACGACGACTGGACTCGTACAGTATTCTCTGATGAAACGTCTTACCAATTATTCAGAAACACCATTCGACGTTGGTCCAAATATGCTCAAGAAGAAAAGAAAAGAATTTCGAAGAATAAACAGAAAATAATGGTGTGGGGAGCTTTCAGTATCAAGGGTCAAATATCATGCTATTCTTTTCGAACAACGATGGATGGTCCACTTTATATTGATATACTTCGAAAACATCTTCTTAGTGGAGCGAGAAAGCAATTTGGACGTCGGTGGCGATATCAACAGGACAACGATCCGAAGCATACCAGTAGAATAGCAAAGCAATTTTTGGAAGATGAAGTACCGGAAGTAATTGACTGGCCAAGTAATAGTCTGGACCTTAATCCCATAGAAAATATGTGGTCTATACTTAAACGACATGTTGAAAAACGAAAACCATCAAATATCCGGGAATTAGACAAGTTTTTACATGAAGAGTGGAAAAAAATCGACATCACAATTATAAGTAATTTGGTGCATTCCATGAAATCGAGATGTCTAGCAATTATTGCTTCAAAGGGAGAAAGAATAAATTATTAAGTATTGTAGTTTTTTAGTATACTATGTGTGTAAACTTTATATGAAAAAATAGATTTTCTTTGATAGCAATGAATAGAGAAAAATGTGAAAAGTTATCGGCAATTTTTTTTGCACCCTACTGTATACAATCCATTAAAGAACGTAAGTTCGTTAAATATTACCTTTAATTTTTTTCATTTGATTTCTATACTTTTACAATCAATGTATAAACTGATAAAGAAATCAGTATCTTTGTTTTACTCAAAACAGTAAACTTGATATGATATTAGGCTTTTTTTGTTTCGTTTCGATGATTAACCAAGTTTTCGGAATGATCTTCTGGAATACTGTTTCAGTTCATAGTATGTTATCCATTTTTTTTCCTATGTGTATTGATCAAGTGTAATCTAAAATAAGAATTGATAATAGAAAGAAGAAAACAATGCAGTTTTATGACAAATGAATGACTTATCTTTTCTAGTGCATCATATTATTTTGAAACCATAGTACAAAATGACATAGAAATAAAACACATTTCCTATTCAACCTTTCTTTAGATAATGACATCCATAGAAGAAATTGATTTTAATGGATCACCAGAAGAAGCTATGAAAGCTTTGGATCATTGATTAAAGCCATTATCGACGCTCAATAAATCAAAATTGAATGAAAACATGTAAGAAATGATTCATCTGTTATTGAAATATAAGACATTTGTGTAGCTGAAACAATTCTCTATAAGCAATAGCAAGTCCGAAGACTTCAACAGAATCGCTTGGATTAAGATCTTCGAAAACAAATTTATTTGATAGAGAAAAATAGGGCGTCATCGAACTCTTCAGATACTTCCTTCATTGACTAGCTTTCGATTTATGGAGAGGTCGAAGACTTCTCATTTTGCTCTATTCAATAAACGATTTTCTCAAAACTTTCAAATAAATACGAGAAATTTGGTTTTGACCGTCTTGATTTTCCACAGATTCTCATTCAAGTGCTTTCGTTGAGGTCTTCGAGTCTACTAATCCAGATGAAGAGTTCTTTTAGCTGTACGCCTCACTGTTTTATTAGAAACAGTAACATGTTTTGTTGATATACAATCAAAGACTGTGTCTCAATACCACCTAGTTAACTGCTTTCTTATTGCGTTTCTGGAGCATCAAGTAAAAGAATATTGAATAAATCTCTACTAAATTAGACTTAATAAAACAATTTCTTCGTGATTAGCAATAGCAACTGCATCATGTTTCACACTTTAGTCTCGCACGAAGTGTGCTAGCAGATTTATTATTATTTTTTTGTTCATAGAACACTAAAATCTGATGTTCGAAATATTATGATAACAATTGCTTTACCTTATGTCAACGATGTAACTCATTTGGATACTCTTCTATTGGATTTTTATTAAGTGTTGATGTTTTCTGGTTCGATAAAAATCAAACAATGTCTTATTCATTTTTTCATTGTTAATGTTAATGTTAAATTTAAGGTATTGTTGGTTGAAAAATTACAATACTTACGATAAATATTTTGATTTACATAAAAAATTAATAGATGGTTTCAATTAGACTTTGATCTTTTTTAGATGAACTTCAACATAAAACAAAACTGAATAAGATTTTAATATTAGAAAGAAAGGTATCTGTTCTTAATAATTCATTGGACTGTCTATTTTAGAATTGCTCAAGATATTTTTCGAAATTCCATAAACGATATCTTATTTTTCATAATAACGTTGAACAATTATATTGTGATACTTATCAACGGTACAGAACTATTCAATAAATGAGCCAACATTCTATTCCTAAATAATTTATCCAAGATTACGTAGTATAGAGGAAAATGACATCTAGGTTCGAGTATACTATCCCTCACATTCATAGTCACTTATTCATGGTGGTTACTCTTGACATGAGCAGCACTGCTCGTTTTGGTCCTAGTTTCACTTGGACTGGAACCATCTTGATCATGTCTAAACTCCTCGTATAGAGATAATCCCTCTCAATCTGCTTTATTTTCGATTATTAAATATTTGAATTTTCGAACTCGATAGAGGGAAAAGACAAGACCATATGGTATTGTTTCTTTAGTTCTATTTTTTTTTAGACGGATAGATTTATTATTAGAAAAATCACAACTAGCTATAGGTGTTGTATGTTCGAAATGAACATTTTCAACAATTGTTTTGAACGGCGCCAAAATTATAGATACCAAAAATTATGCAGCATTATGTTTCGGTCATTCTAGAAACTTATTCGAACTGTTTTAACTAAATCTTTCATAGATAAAAGAAGAATTTTGAGAACAATCAAAATGCTACATTTCTCATTTCTGTTCTAACAGCGCAATCTGTACGATCAAGTCTACTCGAACTTGAGCATTTTCTGTTACATCTATTTGAAACTTTCTTTTGATAATGAATTAAAAAAATATTTGTTTTTTATTTTACTATTATACTAATTCAACAAAATTTTTAGTAGAAAAAAAAACAACATTTTCTAATATCTTCTCACGAGGAATATTAAAACTACGTTGAACAGATGAACCATAAGCAAATAGTATGATAAAATTCTTGTAGTTCTTTGATATATTCATATTCAGCTATTTTTGTAAATATTTATTTCAATAATATCAATTGTTTCTGGATTTGTTTGATGAAGTTTAACTAAATTTTGTGTTAAATAAAAAACAAATGGGCTACTGCCTACGATACAAATCCGTATGAATGATGAAGATAATATAGAATCGTGAGTAACTATTGAAAATGATCGTCGAGTAAGACAATATATAAAGCAACGTCCATTAAAATGAGTAAATATCGACAAGATATTGAAGATACTTCTAGAATATAATATGGAATCAATTCTTCTGAAATATCTATATGTCATTAAAATTTTTAGTCTTTTCTTTATTCTTCAATCTTATTTATGAACATCTTGTCTATTAAAAATAACTAAATATCACGTTGAACATATTTTCTTTTCACATATGTTTAGTATGTGTTAAGATTTTATCTTTCGACAAATCTTTCTTTATTAATTTGTTTATATATTAACGACAGATTTTAAATAAAAAAGAATTAAAAGAAAGTACAAAAACAGAAACAAATCAGATGAATTATTCATTTTCAAATAATAACTCGATGCAAGATAACAAGCAGCTCTTTCTAAGATTGTTTTATTTCACATGAATTATCACTTTCATAGAAGGCTTTGCCAAAATGATGGACAACAGTTAACTAAACAATAAAATGAATAAAAACGACATCATTTAAAAAAACATTTACATAGCGATTAAAAAATGATTTGTCAAATATAACAAACAAATATATATCAGAGATTATCGTCTTCTAGTGTTGAATAAACAATACAAATTGAAATTTTATGATCAAAAATTAAGATGGAAATTTTCATTTGTCATCAAATTCAGTAATAGTCCAGTAGAATCTATTCAAATGAAATAAATTGTTAGATGCAATACTATGCAAATTATATAATACAATTATTCCTACTGGTTCGCTGATCATATCTGTTTGAGAATATTCAGTGATTTCATATGAAATATATAAAACTTAACTAGTAGCAACATTGATGTTTTTTATTAGAAGAATATTTTACATAGAATGTATCGTCAATTGAACTAAGAACATTCACAATTATTAATTTATAAGTATCTAGATTTTTTGTTATAGTTTTATTAATTATTAATCTAATTGTATATGATTATCTTGTACAATTGAATAATCATTTTTCAACCAAAGATTTTACATACAATTATTCAAAAATGACTATTATATTTTACTATACTTACCATTTTAACACGAACAGTTCATATAACAGGTCACCCATTAATAATTATCATAAATTCAAGTTCTTGAAATATTTCTTTTAAAAACAGTCAGCAGAAAGTAAATTTCAGATAAATATACAATTGACTGTATTGATGTCAAAGAAAACTTGCGTTTTTAATAATGTTTATTTTTTATTCTATCTATTCATATCTTCAGAGCATTTCCAACTTTTGTCAAAGAATGAGGGCTGGACGACATCTCCCAAAATCGAGAAATTGTCCCACTTTCAGCAGAAATCCTTTACCCCACACGAAGTCAAGCAGAAACGTTTTTCATAGCGAAACACAATCCATGACTAAACGTTTTCCATTAGAAACGCATTAACCATATCCATCCTCACAAGGAGAAATCGATCAGATTATTCTTATAGTATTAGCAGAAATGTATAAAATTATTTTTTCACTATAAGGAGAAATGGATATTTTACAGCAAAAATACAAAATTTTTCAGCAGAAACCTGTAACACAAGCAGAAATCAAAAAGACTGAGAGAAATGGATCATGTTTTTCCTCTTAATGGATGTTTCTAGTAGAAATAGATTTTTCCTATTAGGAATCGTTATTTTTTAAGGAGAAATAAAGAAGTTACACCGGTCGACGAAGTTGTGTCTTCAATGGTGATCGTTGTCGAAGTTAACTTTAATTCACTTATCAATAACTAGTTTAATAAATTGAATTTTGCATCGCCGAGTGGATGATCAAAATTTTTTTTTATTAATAAATACTGTTCAGTTAATAATTTTGTAAAATAAATAGTAGTTACTGAGAAACATTGTTTTTTTGACCTTATACTCAGGGATAGGACATTCAGTCTAGTAAATTATTTGATGATAAGTGAATTAGAACCAACTTCGACAAATTTTTTTAATCAAGTGGTAAATTCGATGTGGATCATCGTCGAAGTTATAACTTTGTCGACTGGTGTAACATCGATATGGCACATATTTATATATTTTGTCTTTTTCCTTCTTTCCATTTCTACTTGATATGTATGACTTTATGTGGGATGAAGCATTTCCTCCTAAAGTGGAACAACTTCCCCCATCGACTGGTCCAATTGTCCGCTGCTGTGTTGCTATTCACAGAGACGTCATTATTTCTGGTAAGAACATAACATTCGGGAGAATGAAAGGTAAGAAAAACAATAATTTTAATTTTTATATGAACAGAATGTTCAATTTTGTGAAAAGAACGAAAAAAGTATCAAAATATATTCTAATGTCTATGATTTGAAGTAATGTTTATAAAATTTAGTGTCACTTCTTTCCTATTGTTACTGTCATCGAAATTCTTCGTGTTGAGCATATATTGGATAAAACTTAGTTATTCTGTACTTGATTCAACGAAAAATCCTTGCATGTCTAAGACCTGGCTAAGCAAAAGTGGGAAAACTATCGAATGGCACATTCTAGTATATATTGATGTTAAACGTATTGTAAATATAAAATGTGTTTGGAAGTTAACTAGAATAAATTTTGGAATGGTGAAGCATGTTACAAGTTAAAAATAATGAAATGGTACAAAAATAGTATAGTTCAATGTGTACTGAACAGTTGTCTGTTCAAGTTTTTTCCTCTTCTTCGGTTGAAGCTTCTTTTTTGAATAAAATATCATATGGTCGTATAGCATTAGGATCAACAATACACCACGCTTTACCCACATTAACTGGGCATATATGAATTGTAAATTTGTCCGGTTCGACACAGCATTAGAAAACAATACTAAATCGCTCACTCTTATTAGGAATGTAGTCACAGTGAAAGGTATAGTCTATTGAGGATACGATCAACCATTATAGTGTATTGCTACATAGAGTCTTGATTGATTTGCCTCTTCTCCCATTTGTTCAATTGTTTCATCGATCATGAGGTCAGTTTTGACAGCACTGGATAATAAACCTTGTCGAACAATACCGTTGATTGCGCCTGAATGCGTTCTATGAAAAGAGACAGACCATTCACCTTCAGCGTTAATATGAGGGTGTGAGTGGGTTTGTGTGAAAAGAATACTCCTCAACTACGCATCTATCCACAGTCACACCAACACCCACACCCGCAAGTATAAGAGACTTGTATTTCAATATGCTCTCATTTTCAACATATCTATCTATCTATATTTATATTATTTTTGATATTTTCATTTTCGATATGTTTCCTTTTTACCTTATTTCATAATACTTTATGATGATTCATCCAATAATTTCCAACATATTGTAATTTTCTTCCCAGTTACGCAATATGTATGAATCAGATCGGAAAAAAAAATTAATATTGCTTTCGACGCTTACGAAATAGAGCTACTACATTCGTTTTTTGTCACGCTTGATTAAGATATTAGTAATATATTTATAATTTAAATATTTCACTGTATGGTAGTAATCGATCATTCAACTAACGATTAGCTATATCTTTCTTTTCATTGTGATCTTCATAAATTATCTCTTATTTACAGGTGGGAAACTACTTATGATTCATTTAGAATTCTGTGGAGACAAGTCACTGTTACCCAACTTCGTGATAGAAACTTAGTTGGATTTTTCATGAAATAAAGTCTGTTTTACAAAAATTACAATGATATAAAATCCAACAAACAGTTTTTGGAATGAAGGAACATAAATCTGTTAGCGACTTTCGATATATTTACAGTTAAATTTCTTTTTTCAAAAGACTCTTTTTTCGTATTATCTAATAATGCAACTCATCGACAGTGGCAGCTTTTCTCTTCATACTTCTAATTCAATACAAACCATTTACCAGTAACAGTCATAGGAAACATGACCTTTCTGACTTTCAGATCCATACAGTAGAACCTCTCTATAATGAGGGTGTCCTTACACTGAGCGAGCTATAGTCCGCTCGAGCGAATTTTGCTTGAAATGAGCCTCTCTAATATGAGCACTTCTTTATTCTGAGCAATGGGCGATTATTTCTGGTCCCATGAGTAATGACAACCTCTGTAATGTGAGCAATATATGATCCATCACTCACGCACAGAATGAGAAAAAAAAAGTAACATATGTGTTGTTGTATCATAATCAATTATGGGCCAGATTTAAGAACGCAACGAACTAACCATACATGTTTAAAAGAAAAAAATAAACAACAAGAACAGTGTTGAGTATAGCATCTCGTCGTTTTATGTTAATAGCTAGTAACATAAAATCATGTGAACGCGTGCTGATTTATCTCTTATTTAAAAAGTTGAATCAACTAAAGATTCTGAATATTGTTTATCTCAACGAGATTTAGCAGCCAAATATAAAATATCGAATAGTTTTGTGCTGTAAAAAGAAAGTTGTTATCTCAGAAAAAATTAATTTTGTTTTGTGAAAAGAAAAATTGTTATTGCAGAAGATGATATGGTTGTTTAAACTAATAAATTATTAGAAAGAAGAAAAGTTTCGTCTACGTAGTACAATTAAAAAGTTATGACCACTAAATACTTATACGTTGCAAAAAAAATTGAAAACCGTCCAATAATGAGCACATCTATGAAGTGGACACTTTTAACGGATCCTAATGATGCCCACATTAGAGAGGTTTCATTGTAATTTGAAAATACATTGTGGTTTGAAGAGACCATTGAAATATGTGGCGTTTGTATATTTAATAGAGTTTTATTTGGTTAAGAAGACTAATTTCATTCTTATTTCCTTACTAGACATTCACTGAAAACTCATATGATTTGAGACAAATTTTCATTGTTAGACATGTTTTAACTCGAATTGTTGATAGCTTTAGTAATCAGTTCCCCTAACAAACACAATAACAATTGACAATAACTCCAAGTGAAGAGAATTCTGCAGTTATGTCTCGAAAGTAAAGCATACTTCTCAGAAAATAGTACGGTACCTTGTAATATTATTGATAACCATAGAACTATAAAAATGTCTTGTGGCTTACTTGAATGTAGTAGACGATCAGAGAGAAAACCGATGCTATTTCTCTTATTATATGCTTGCTTTGAACCCAATTCGTCTTAAATACGAATTAATTTAGTTATGTAGTTTGTTAGTCAAGGTTACTTAAGGCCCCCCCCCCCTCAAAAAAAATCAATTTTCGTCAAAATTATCGAAATTGAGATAAATGCATCGGAAGATAGCCCGTCTTCTGCTCTTTCAGAAATCATATTGGTTTTTCTTCGGCACCTCGTTTTTGGTCAAAGTTTTCGATGATTTTTGTTAAGCTCTTCTTGAAAAATATGCTTATTTTAAAAAAAACGAAAAATGTTTTTCGTTTTTTCTCAGTTTAGGCTTTCTGAACCGCGCAATCCATTTTTCTCTGTCCAGGCTCATTCAATATATTTTAATTTTTTTTTTGTTTGAAAGAGCACGTCAAGATGCAGTGCAGTACAGAGTCCTTTTTTTAATTAAGCTTTATTTTTTATTATATATACAGTCATATATGTAACTAGACACCCATTTTTGGCGCGTTTTTTGAGTCATTGAACTTGTGATTCCCTTTTTTCGCTAAAAAAGTAAGAATTTAAAAAAAAGGACTCTGTACTGCACTGCGTCCTGAGATGCTCTTTCAAACAAAAAAAAAATTAAATACATTGAAAGAGCCTGGACAAAGAAAAATGGATTGCCAAATGAGCTATTTTTGGCCCTTGTTTGTTTCATATCTCTGTCAAACATTAGGGTATCGAGCTGAAAATTTTATCACAGCCTCCTCACTTCAGTCCCAACATATGCTCCAAGTTTCAGCCTATTTGAACTTTCGTGGGCTGAGATCGATTTTTGAGTGGTGGGGGGGCCTTAAGTGTGTGCTTATTTTAGTTGAGATCGTGACTTGCTACGATGTCTACTATGACAAACATTAAACTGATTCAAATGCTATTTATCATGGCCACTCTAATTGCATTAAGCGTTTGCCAAGGAGGGGGTAGCGGCGGAGGCGGTGGTGGAGGTGGTTTCGGAGGTATTGGAGGTTGGAACAATTATCGAAGTAAGCGCTTTAAAAGTAACTGCATAAGGTTTTTCTTTCATGCAAGTTTATAGTTTAGTAAGAGACGAAATCACACTCACATATTTCAATTGTGCAATGTCTCAATTAAGAGATATTGAGATTCCGTTCAAACAATAAAATATGCTTGTTGGTCAGACGATAAAAAACATTGGCTTTTTGATAATTCATTAAAAAATATAAAGAAAATACGTTTTTTCTCTACCTAGTGGACAATATGATAGGAGGAAAAATTGCTAAGATGTTTAGATCTTTAATATTTTTTGCATTAATTTCACAAGTTATTTGTAAAATTCATATGTAAATCATAGTATAGGATATATAGTGTGATTGATACTATGTGATAGAACGAAGGGAAAGATGACTTTCATGAGGATCGAATCGACACTTATCGCTATGCGAGTAGACGTCTTAAACCAATTAGACTGCAGCGCTTATCTTAATATTCATTTAGCATCAGTGTCATCCATCAATGATGCTGATACTGTTCATTTTCGTAAATGTTTTTAAATAGATGCAGCTCGCTGCAATGCATCCAATGAAACATGTACGTACGATGGCATACAGAATGCTGGTACCTCTATTGGTATTTTCTTCTTGATTTGTTTCTGCTGCTGTTGTCTCTGTCTTGCCGGTTTAAATCTCGGAAAATGCTTAAAAGGGAGAGCTTTCCGTTCTAATTCCTTCTTCGTCAAGTGTGCTCTGAAAAGGAATAGCCAAAATGTGTCGAATGTATCACCATTTTCATCGGGTGTTTGGTCTAGTCGATATTATCAATATAGAAAATGGCATGAACGATATGAACTATCGCTGTTATTTGATGAAGAACAAAATTTAGTAAAAGGTTCTGGAACTGATGATATTGGTTGTTTCACTATCGTTGGAATCTATTCAACAAGAACATTAAGAATGGGTCTGAAAAAGATATATCGAGCTGGTACTGGGAATCCAAGAGAAAACCTAGGACATACAGTGACAATTCAACTAAAATGGAATTCAAATACAAATCAATTTGAAGGTAAATGGTATGTTCAAACGAATGTTTATCATGGAGAAAACCGATTCGAACTGAAATTCAACAGCACACGAGACATCATTGATTCAGTTCATTAAAATATTTGCCTTTTTTTAATTGAACACATGTAATCTAGCTTAAACCCTTATCCATACCAATTAACTTAACCAAGAAAGGCAAACGATAAGTTGATTTTGGTTTTAAGTCAAGTCCATTTGACAAACTGTCTGTGAAACTTCTCTTGTCATGCCTAGTCCTATTCATGCTTATAGTTATTTTATTTTCTGTATTTTTTGTTACTTTTTTTCTGATATCTTTCAATATAACTATGCATTTCTTCATTAGCCACGATACTTGATTGTATTCATCAGATTTGAGGCATGCAAGTGTGGATGCCATTTTTTTTATCACTTGATACCTGTATACATACCCACACTTTCACAACCTTATCCGTATGGTGTCGAAGTGTGAATATGTCTCCATCTTTGGTAAAAAACAAATGAGCTCGTTTCGTCGAGCCGTAATAGAGATATTCAGTTTTTTTTTCGGTAAAATGACTTTTGGTCCACCCTGTATAATATCAATAAACAAACAATTTCTTTATTTCCTTTTTGATAGATAAAAAAACAAAAGAAAAATCCGTTGAATTACAATTATTTACATTCTTATTATTCAATTAATCAAGCTTTAGATATTGTTTTTTATCTGAATTAATTCAAGGTAGGATTTAAAGACTATTTAATGAATTTTTTTTTGTGAAATAGCTATCATAGTACAGCTGTGAATGATTCTATCAAATTTTTCTTTTTAGTTTTCATAACATCCAACAGTATTTTAAAGTTAACTTGTTTTTGAAGGTCAATTTTATATAGAAAATGAACTGAAGTAATAAGTTGATTATGGTCTCGAAACAATTGGAAATTATGAATATCATTATCAGTAGATTTGGCAGCATCATTCGTATTCAATTTCATCTTTTTCTTTGTTTACTAAGCATTAAAATCAAATCTATACTAGACACAACTAAGTAAAGTACACTCATACTTTCATAAATACCCTTTTCTCGATGTTTTTTTTAAGCTGAACGTCCTGGAGAGGAAAAAGAGTCGATGAAACTGAACAAAAGCAAGACTTAAAAAATGTGGTGTTTAACCGAACATCCTAAACGAATGACATATTATTCCAAGCGAGAGAAAATCTATCGGTAGTTTAATACTTCGTCAGTTGACTACATTCTGATTGATATTTAATCGTATAGTATACCAATGGTTATTTCAATAAATGTCAGAGATTAGATTATTGAAAATCTATAGATAAGGAACATTTCATTATGTTAAAATGTTTAATTAGTGATAAATGGAAATTTTAGAAAAATGATCTATAAAAAACAAAGTAACTGTTTGATAATATTCTTTGGCGAATTGTGAATTATTTGTTTTTATTGTGTATTTTGATGATGTTCAGCAGATTTGAGTTATAATATTCGATTAAATAAAAAAATTGTAACGTATTTGTTGATCATTCTAAATAATAAATAGCAATATGAATAAATATCGTTTGATAAAAGTTCTAAATCATATAATAGATGATTTAAAGCTGTCTAAGAAATATTCAATAACGATTATTTGTTTATTAGTAAATATCTTTCAATTGATTGTCAAGAACTTCTTCAAACATATTGTTCATGTGTTGATGAAGTACATTGACAAAAAAAGATTAATAATTTTTTTCAGAGATTGATTAACATCTGAACCTGTGTTTTTTTTTTAATAAAGATAAAAATTCATGAAAAAACATTGATTATCATAAACTCTTTCCTAACGTTCATATTGTCATAATAAATGAATATAAGATGGTATTGTTCTTGGATAATAGTATCATTTAGCCATTTTTTATCTTTTTTTAAACTACAAAAAAAAAGATTTGAATATTGATTTCGATTTCATAAAATATATACAAATTGTATGATTGATGATTATTTGCATCTATGTTATGAACATTCCATAGTTGATATTATCAAAATCAAATTTTATTTGCCTTAATACGAGGTTTAAATTTATATTTTTTATAAAATATTCATTTTGAATTTATTTAGGATAATATTAAATATTAATATTAAAATAGTATCAAAAATTATTGTATGTCGACCAGGTATCGCAGCATTAATTATACGATGCACACAAGAACCAAACAATATTATTAATCGTCTCAAATCAGTTGAACAATTATGTAATTCAATTCGTTTCTTATCTGATCAACAACTTGAATATGTTCTATGTGAAAAAATTTTCAAACATAATAAAAGAAAACAATCGTTAAATTCAAATGTTAAGTGAAAGATTGATTTTTTTTATTATTGCCATAAAATAAAAATAAAAATGAAATATTGTTTTAGTGAATCTTCGTCTGAGTATCTTCTTAATCAACTATTTCCATTGAATAAAGAATATTATCAACGATTCTTTAATGGTGGATGCAATTGTTCTTTCAATAAGTATAATTATCAAGATAATAATACAAATCAATAACAATATCGCTCATAGAATAAGTCAAAAAGAAATAAACTAAAATAAGATTGTTTTTTTTTCTTTTAGCATAAATGATAATATTGCTTTTAATATCTCATCTTTTCAATCAGGAACACTACGTCCTATTTCTTCAAAATTTTCATCATCATTCACTAATAAAAGACTATTTAATAATGCGCTTTATTCATAAACACCAACTACTTTTGATACTTCACTACTGGCATTACCTTATCAACCTGGATGAACTAACAATAGTGACGGCAATTCAAACAATGATCGAGGTGGATGTAGGTGTCCTTATACAGAATGTCCACACATACTCACCCACATTCACATCCACACCCGGATATTAACTATTCATATTAGAACTTGAAGTTTCTTCATTTCTAATGATGGTGTTACTTGATGCTTGAAAGGGGTTTTACTTGGAAACAGTGTATCATCCAAAATCATTAACACTTCTTAAATCCAATTATGAATATTCAGTTGCATAAAATCTGCATCGTCTCTGTGATAAATTTCATGATACACTGTTTCATTGCATTGTGAAGGCTGTGCGATTGGATTTGAGTGAGATTACACACACATCCTCGGATTCTTTTCTATTCACACTTGTTTTCGAATATGTGTTAATTGGAATGAAGATTTCAATTTATTGGAAAATATTTTTTTTTACACAATTACAACACATATCTGTTTGAGGACAAAGATATAAAGGCCTGCTGAGGTTATTAACTGTAAAACGTTCATTGCATATATCACAGATAAATGTTTTATTTCTACCATATTGTTCATGACATGCCATTTTACGATTTTCCGATAGTTTCTCAAGTGATGTATATAGAAAGCGTATTTATTTGAATTGTTTTTTGACTAATTCCTTGTGTTCAACTACCATCGATTGAACTTTTATTAATGAGCGTATATTGATATAATCTTTCATCTTGTCACGTTGTCCCTTCCAATCACATTTAACGTTGGCTGCTGGACATGATACTATTTCTTTCACACAATTTGCAATGTAATCTTTAAAATTATCTCGTTGAATATTAATTTGAGAGCAAGAGTTGCATTTAACAAGCAATTGATTGAGTTGATTGAGAAAAGACGTACGGTGACAGAATGATAATCTTCGAGTGCCAAATCACGATGGCATATTGGACATTTGGACATATCATGAAAAGTATCAGCAATACATTTATGACAAAATACATTTCCATATTGATTGGCACAGATAGAATCTTCAAGTGGATCAGTGCACATAGGTCATAGGAGATCTTCATGAGCTGGGTCTTCATCCATATATTCATATTTTTCAGTTATTGACACGCAAAACAGACAAAAAAATACGCTTGTTTTTTACGTTATTTACGCGTCGATTGACAACTAACAAGGTACATATAGTTTGATGAAAGAAGAATGGCCGTTTCTTATTTATTTGGCTTGTTTTCGTTCTGTATGGAAGAATAATGATTTATTTTTATGATTATATAAGTTTCTCTCACGATGTATCTGAGTGAAAGAAATACTTTATCTTAGCATTTTGCATTCGTATTAACAAAAAAAACGGTGCCAGAAAAATAAATTAACAGCAGAAACAAGTATAGAATAGGATGAAACAAAATTTTATCTTGTTCCATCATTCTGTAGAACAAACCAACGAAAACACCGTGCCAACTCATTCAGCAGTCTTCTCTGTCCTAGAGTGACACGATCAGTAAAACAGAATGATGAATACATCAGTCATTGACTAAAGCTTAAAAGCTAATCTATTAAGTTAAATTGAATAAGAAATCTCGAAATTGAAGGCATTGTAAGTATGTTGATTCTGACAAAGTTTGGCGAACCACATTCTAGATCAATAAGCCTACGAGAAACACGTAATAAAATTGAGAGAGAGTGTGAGGAGTGTGGATGTGGGTGTAGGTATACTTTCCTGACAATACTCACATTCACACCCATCAAGAAGGTCCACTCTACCACTCGAAGACACTCACACTCACCCATTCCTGCACGCCACATCCGCATCCACCCACATCCATATACATCCATTCCACTGTGAATAGAATTTGAAGATAAATTTTGTTGCCAGCTGAGTGAGTTCAAGGACCAGAAGCTCACAGCGGCCCAAAGCGATTATCATTTAAAATATCGATACGATTTCTTGTTTCGAGAGACACACTAGTAACCTTAAGATCTTGCCACTAGTTTACTTCAAATGCGACAATGGATAAGTTGACTGCGTTGAATTTACTTTTGCAAGATGATCACAGATGGAACGTGGTGTATTTAAAGTCTCTATAACGTACTTTTGCATTTACTTACTGATCTCAATAATATATCATAGGCAATAAATCCTTCAAAAAAATAGCTTTCTACATAGATAAGTTACGTGACAATGAGAATGTATCATAAATCACATTTATTTTACTTCCTATCTCTTTTTGTTTTGTTCGACGTAAGCAAGTATGTATTTGACTAATTTACGAGTAATCTATGTATTGACAAGTTATAAATATAGAAGACATAAACTTTTGTTGATTCAAGATTTATCACTTATTCAAAGGCAATAAAAAGAAAGTCAGTAATGAATCATCAATAAAAAATTTCACACTATACTCTAAAGTATGTTCAAACCGTTATTGGTCATGGTCCACGTGGTCCTCTATCAGCTTCCTGGGAAATCGGTATTAAAATCACACTAAATGATGTTTCACTATGTCCAGTTGATCTTCCACTAAATGAATCAAAAGAGAAATGTAATACTGGTAAAATGCTTACATCGTGGAATACAGTAGTTTTAAAAGAACCGCTGAGATATGAAAGAGATTCAACAAATAGATTTTTTCGCACAAAACGTCTACGCGATATCATTAACGAGGAAAGTAAGTGCTGCGTTACTCATATGCTTTGGAGCTTTCAAGTACATTTTATTCCTATCTCTCTCTCTCTCTCTCTCTTCAGATCTAGAAACTGTTGGTCCATGGATAGAAGCTGGCTGTTCTCTTTTGCCAACAAGATGGGCGAATCATTCTGCTACACCACCGCCCTATACACTTGTAGCGATGATTTGTCACGATTGTACACCAACAAGACATGGAGAATATCAAGAATTATTTGCTTGTGAATGTTAGGCGTAATATTAGTTCAGAGATAGATTTTAGGTTTTGAAGTTAAAAGTTTTTCTTTAAATATAGTTTTTTACAAGATTTTTTGTCCTATCTTACAATAGCATGTTTTTTTGTTGATGTAATTTCGAAGTAAGGGGCTTAGAACTAACTAAGGGTTGTAAAACCTACTTCTTTCCTGAATTTTAGTGATGCAACTCTTTTTTCATTAGATGGTTATGATCTTGCACGTCTATTCCTGCATAGTGTCAAACACATTCCCTATAGTAGTACAGCGTTTATTCTCTTTTATAGATCATGTCGGCTCGTCATAGCTCTGCTTCTCAGACAACCGGAAGCATATCATTTTTATTATCTCGGGATTTTGTTGATAGTTCAACAAATACCGAATCAATCTTGACTAAATCCTCATTTTGGAATATGCAATTTAAAGATATACTGAAAGTTACCGGTGTACTTTTAGTCCCGTTGATGTTAGGCGTTGCAACTCTAATGTTAACTATTCAAAACACTAAAGATGCAAAGGAAAATCGTGAAAAAGATTTCCTTATTGCACAACGTGAACGTGAACAAACTGCTTATTTGGCTGAGGAAGAGAGACAAGACAAGCGTTTAACAAAATATTTAAATGATATATCTACATTAGTGTTTTCAAATCAAACATTAGATCCTCTATTACGTGCAAAAACTCTGAATGTTCTACGACAATTAGATGCGCAACGAAAGCGTGAAGTAATTCTATTTCTGTATGACGCTAAACTGATTCGAACCGATATAAATTCTGGAATTCCAATTATTTCATTACAAGATGTAAATTTAGATAATGTTGACTTTAGTGATTTACGATCACCATATACACAGAGAACATCAAACTTCTATTACGATACACATATAAATTTACGTGGTGTTTTCCTACGAAATACATCGTTTCAAAGACGAACTCTTTGTCGATCAGATTTGGCACAAACTGATTGTACACATGCAGATTTTAGTTCAGCAGATTTATCGGAAGTTGACTTTAGTTATGCAAAATTAATTGAATGTAATTTTGAAAATGCACGTTTCGATTCTGTTAATTTACAGAATGCTAATTTATCACAGTCAAATATTACAGATGAACAGCTAGCTACGGCACTTACGTATCAAGGTGCAATCTTACCGAATAGAACGGTAGCAAAAAATAAAAATCTATTGATTAACGATGGTTGTATTAATGACCGTAGTAAAAATTTATCCGGAACACATTGGATGGTTGCAAATGGAAGTGTGGTAGTGCAACTATTAAATGATAACTGTTACTTTGTTTCCTATGATACAGAATTCTCTATAATACATCAAAGAATTAACTTACAAGGTTATCTTCCTTGGATTCTTAGAAATCGTACTGTATATCGATTTAATTCGTCTGTATATACTGATAGAGATCAGAATATGAATAGTTATATTATTATTAACATTAAAGAGTTATCAACTACTGGTAGAGAGTTGGAGAAACAAACAATATGTACGTGTCTAATTTTTTTTTCTAAAATATGAGTTTGACTACAAATATCTCTTTCCTATTTATTTTGCTTCTTTTACTTTAGGTCAACAAGCAGATAGTCGTTTCTGTGATGGAAATTCAAAAATGTGTATAAATGGAATTTGTTCTTTTGACAATGAACTTGATACAATAAATGGAGAAAGTACACACAGTGTCGACATCGAAGTTTTATTTATAAACAAGAGGAAAAGGAATAATCTACTATTGTCGTCTTTCAATAAAACATCGATATCAGCAATTTTAAAAGATATAAAATTCTATGTATTTGTTTTTGAATTCTAATGAAAAGGAAAAGAAGTTTGTTCTTCGAAAATTGACAGTGTTTTCTCTCTAACTAACCTAAAGAAGCATATTTGTAGAAGTTCGTTTTCTTGCTCTTGCCAACCTTCTGCTAACATGACTTGGGTATGATAGTCAGCACAGTCTATAATCTATGTCTTGACATATTTTCAGCTGGCTAGGTTAGATATTTACCAAAGGCTATCTTTTCTGTGAAACCTCTACAAGTTAGGAATGAAAAGCGATACAGAATATTTTCTGTTCTTTTTCTTTTCTATTCTCGTTATAGCTATAATTTCTCATAATCGTACAGAGAATACATCCTATTCCGCGATGTTGCACATTGTGGAAACTGATTCCGCCCCCAAAAACAGTTCCATCCGATTCCGAAATTCCCAATCGTCGAGCTAACTCGACTTATTCGAAAATGATCGACTTCCCTCAATTTCCGGAACTATCGGGATCGCATCCAATTCGGGAATTCCGTCTGATTCTCACCCTTAGCATGCCTCGTGTAGTTATAGATAGGGATGTGCAGTTTCAGCATACTGACCACCGATAAAGTCACACCGGCGTTCATCGGTACACTAAGGACACCGACACTGTCTGCACCGAGGGTGGGTGTGGGTGTGAGTGTGGGTGCGGGTGGAGAGAAGAAATCCACACCTACCCACGCCCACACCCACACTCACACCCTACACCTTACCCACACCCTCACCCATTATGAACTCTTGTAATGATGTTTCAAACAGAATTGACCATCGACAAAACTCAATTCACGAGGATTGTGAAGCAATTCGCTAAAAATTGAATTATATCTACATGATCATCTGAAGAACGAAAGAAATGTCATATTGTAATCTTCACTCTTCTAGTAGCTGTCTTGCCAACTATTCCAGGGACGCTGATAAAGCAAAGCAAACATTCATCCCCTCAAATCTTCTATGTATATTGACTCTCTCAAGCTGCGCAGCAATCTTATATCATTGGTCTTTTATATAAGAACACGAACAAGTAAAGGATCACGTTGCAATTAGTATTGCCGCTTTTTTACTTGATTACCCACTAAGTTTCGATATCTAGCCATGCACCAAAAGCAATACCGGTTTTGATATTGATATTTATCTCTAGGTATCAATAAGAACATCGATTTTTAAAAAAATTGTAATCAAAAGCACTTTCTCTGTGTAGGTTTTTATATTTTTGTTTTCTCCAAATGAATTCCTGATATAATAAAGAGTATGAGAATGAGAGTAATGTAATAACTGTTATTGAATGGTTGATAAAATAAATAGACTTACCTAGTAGTCTAAAAAATCCTTTGCTGTAATCTTATACAAACATAGATTTTGTAAATTACTTCTGATTAATTAACCAGTAAAATAGTGAAGTAGATTTACTCTTACACAGTAACAAGTTTATTTTTCATATGTTAAGTCATGAATAAAAATACACTACTTTACAGATTCATCAGTTTCAAGGAAGAAAAAACGTCAGAGACATTGTCATTAACAAGTGACGCAAAAAGAAGTATTTATGCTAGTCAAAAAAAGTTTTGGAATTTCTCCGGGTTGCAGCAGAACTCCAACTGAAAATATTGATGGCATAGAAGCCGAAGTCGGTGTCAAAAAGTTTGATTCCGCGGGACGCTAGTCAAAAAAACAGTTTACTTGAGTACGACATACATACTATTTCGACGAAGTTACAAAACAAAAATGAAATAAATCCTTTCGATTGGAATAAAAGTTTTCTGGAAAGTATGTATGAACTACAACGAGCATTGCTCAATTCGACTTTGTTGAAAATATTATTTTCTAAGCATTGTTATTATTTAACTATGAAAAAAAATTAGGAAAATGGATAATAATCATTGTACGTTCAGAGTTTCAAAAAATATATCGGATTTTGATGAATGTATCAGAAATCTTATTTCTGGAAAAAGAATATGATAATATACACAGAAAAACACTCATAACTCTATTCTTTTAAAGTGAACTTTCTTAAAATTATCTTCTGAAAAATACCTAAATCAGAGTTGATGTCATTGACAGCAAAACCATTGTAGACTAGACTACCCAAAATTGATAAGTCGACTAGTAGCCAGTAGTAGTATTTAGAAGGGTGCGGTTAGGGGCGAATAGGTTGGTGTATGGCTCTTCTCTTCATCCATATCCTCTCACATAATAACATTTACATTTACACCTTGCAAAACATAAAGTCACAATGTTACGCATAGTTGTTGATAGTGTTTTCAAACTAATGTGCATTTTAAAAAGAGAATCCGGAATTCTATGAATATGGCAATTAAAAATGAGAATCTATTTAAACTGAAAAGTCAGATTTTTTTTTCATTATTTGATATTAGTAATGAGCTTTGTTCTAGTCAAAAATTTAAACAAGAAAATGGAATAATTTTAATAAAAATATAAAGCCCTCTGAGATCGAATTACAACGATTCCATCGGCGAAGACGGCTACGTTGCCGGCGTCATTGTAGGTTCCGTGAGTATTTTGACGTTCAATTTTTGTCAAAGTACAATTTTCATCGATAATGTATAGAAAATGTCCGTCACTTAGAAGCCAACTTGATTGTGGTATTGCTGTAAAACCACAACATCCTATTTCACCGATGGATACACTTCGAAGAGTATTCATGTTACTATCATGCAACTCAAATCGCATTCTAGGTTTTGAATAAAGTGTAATGCCAATTACGGACAAATCTGAAGAATATCTTAGACAGTTTATATATTCGTCGCATTTGCATATGTCTGATGATTTCCATCGTTTTTTAAGTTTCCAAGTAGATGTGTGAATTTCATCAATCGGTGTACCGGGAATTTTATAAGAAATAAGCAATGATTGTCCATTCGATGTACAATGAGAGAAGATATTGTCTTCATAAGGTTGAATATTTGCAAGATGAATATGATTATGATTTCGAGCTGAAAATTTGAAAATTTTACTTTCAGTCAAAAGAATAAACCCAATATTAGGAGAGCAAAATGAAATATCAATGATAAGTCCATCATTCCATTTATTATATTTTTTCTCAGACAAACTACGATGGAACGTTGATATATTATTATCAGTAAAAACGACCAGAAAATTGCTCGAGGCAGCCATAGCTTTCTCTGGCGCGCCATTGATAGGTTTCATTCGAGTTGGATCGGTTGGTGGATGGGAAAGATATTGATATCGATCATTTTTCGAAACATTTGGTATTTGAGGTTTAACACGCTTCAGTGTTTCTGTCTCTGTAACAATATTATTTATCTTGCTCTCTGCTGGTATTTCTTCAATGTGAACTAAAGAAAAACCAAAATATAATTATTTGATTGCATTATAGAAGTGTACACTTGACATCCCTCTGTTTAGTGTAAATATCAAAATAAAAAACTTTAGCCTACGAGATATTCTATTAAATGGTCCGATGCCCTTCTCTTTTGATTGCCGAAAATCGCAGTTAACATGTTTCAATCTGAAAAATTGCACTCGTGATTTTGATGTGATTACTCAATGATCTATTCAAAAATTAACTATATAGTCTCTATTGTGGCTTTACATCTGTTCGAACTTAGAGTTTGGATTAAGGATACATCCACACTTTCCGTTTTTAGGTTGCTATTTCTTACAGATATTGCTAAGTCTTTCCTGTCAATCTGAATTAAAACACCAGTTACAGTGCTCCTCCAACTTTTGCTTGCCTTCTGACTTAGCTTGAAGTCAAATGTAAACGTTCAGAAAATCGACGACCATCGCAATACATGATTTTTCTTATTACAGCCACAGTCAAACTTATTTTTTCATATGCATGAAGAATTTGAGTATTTTGGGCAAAGAGTTCATCTGATATGGGTGCATCTTGAAACAAGACTTGAAATCTTTTGGCGACCTCAAGCACTTGAACATCATGTTTCATCACTTAATATTCTTACTCATGCACTTCTAATGTTTTAGCTGTTCTCTCGATGTAAACATCAGTAACTGTCAACTATTTAATGTTGATAATACATAAACAAACTTCAATAATACGATAAATAGTATGATTGGTTTTTGGGAACAATTGTTACGAATTATTGACCGAGAAAGAAACAGACTTAGTATTCCCTATAAAGATAATACTGTATTATCTTATAATTAATTCCGTACCCGACTTCACTTCAAGTGTTAATCTATCAACTAAAATCGACCTCATCCGTTGTGCTGTAGTCTATATCTCTTGAAGTCGAATTAATTCTGAATGAACTTTTTGACTAACTGCATTTCTTAATTCGGTACTAAATTTCATAATGAAGATCAGGCCACAACGAGAAACAATTGATTCAGTATGTTAGGCAATGCTCAACAGCTGCCTATTCATAAAACAAAAATGTAAAGCTCCGTGGTAGCTTGTGAAACTCTTTAGCTTTTTTTTCTAGTTTTACGTTTAAAATAATTCGATTTTTAGTAGAACTACTCGATCATTTGTATATATGAAATTTGTAGTTTTGACTTTAATGCTACTGACAATAGTGTGTTAAAGAAATAATGCTTTTTGATTGGATTAAGACGTTATCTTGGCATACTGGGTAAATACGATAATGAGTGATCAGCGCACAAAACTGTATCTAAATAATATGCTTTTGATCATATCTGAGGAAAATAATTTTCGAAACCTGGTGGTATAATAGTAAATTGAATGATAGGAAATACTTCTATTCACCTGATCACATTTTTTAAATACGCAAAAGGTAAAAAATTATGGGAGAAAAAAACCTTTTTCAACATGACCTTTTAGTTTCTTATTGATAACATTCAATGCTTTACTACTTACCCTGGTCTGTTTCACACAAACATATACTGTCATTAGTTGATAATGAAAAAGTGCAATATGGTATTTGTTGTGATTTTGATTCCTCTGTCACTGCTACAGTAACAGCACGCAATACCATTAAAATATCTATATTAGGCTTGGTAATATGATTCAGAAGATGTTTTGTAAATAATCCATTCCCTTCTTTTTGATTATCATATGCTTCGGCGCCAGCTGCACAGGCAAATCCAAATACGGATCCAACATTACTAACTCTTTTAAAATCATTGATTTTATCGGTATTTGCAAAGGGATTTCGTGTTATCATTTTTTCTATATTAGGATTACGAAAGTAATAAACTCGACAACAATCCAACAAACATATTGTCACAAATGGAAGTCGATTGCTGAAATCTTCCATAAAGCTTTGTACATGAATCATGTATCGTTTTAAATTTTCATAATTTATAGCATTATTATCTTTTGTTTGAATTGTCGATTTATTTAGAGAAAGCATACTTCGTCGAAAATTATTATCATCATTCTCATCTTGTTCTTTTGGTATTAGAAAGTTTTGATCCTAGAAGCATCGCACAATAATAATTTCAACATTGAGGAATATACTGATTTGTTTTGACAGTTAAAACTTTTCTTCAAAGAGAACATCAAAAAAGTTGTTCTGTGATCCCTCGACAATAACTATGATTAGATATAATATTACATTATTCACGAGCAAACTTTCCTCTTAGACTTCGAGTGACCTTTAAAGCTCTTCAGAGTTAAGAAAACTAAAGTCATATTCAGAAACCCTTATTGCTTACTTCACATTGTATTCCATGTCCAGCAAAATAAAATAAGATCATGTCGCCTTTTTGTACGGATTGTTTAAACTTCAGAAGAACAGTTTCAATTTCATCATGTGTTGAATTGATTTTCTTGGTCACAATAAAACCAATACTTTGCAGCGTAGATTCCATCGAATTTGCATCGTTTTTAGCATGTTGTAATTTTTTGCAATATTTATAATCCTCCACGCCAATTACAAGAGCCAATTTACGCCTCGATATAACTTGAGTTTGATTGTTTGCTTTAGCCATTGTGAAATACAATACCAATCTGAAAATCTACCTGATATTTCTGAATAACTTTAAATATACTTGATAGAGGACGTCATTGAAAGTGAGATAGAATGCGTAGGACTATATATCTTGGCAGTTTACCAGATACATCGACTGAGAGAGATAGCTAAATACTGTTCTCAGTCACATTCACAAAGAAAATTAGAATCATTTTCAAAGGCTACTAAGAAATACCTCTGTTGCGTACTTTTTCACAATGAAAGTGTGCTAGGAAAGACAATAATGGCTTGAAAGTATGAAAAACAGCTGTAATTTAAAAAGAGAAATTTTTTACACACGGTATGTATGCTCTTCGCCGAAAAACACTCCGTCGAAAGTGTTTTTTGACCATGGAGGGCGCTCCAAAGGTGATGGTGAGGACAAAATGAGTTGGCCTCTTCAGGCTTAACAAGCCTGTATAAGAATTAAAGGGTTCATAACAGTCTAAAGCGACCCGCGAGTCTTTCGATGAGATGCTTTTCAGCGAAGAGCATTACATTCTTAGCAGGTTTTTTCTCATAAAAAGACATTTTTACTCCAAAAAGAATCGAACTATTCATTTAGCTAGTTTGTGAAATAACTCATCTTCTTCCTCCAAAGAAAAATGTATTATAAATATTGCACTGTAATGCGTTTGTAACGAATTCGTTTTTTTCAATAAAAGGACGAAAAAAACGCGTTTATAAATGCATCACAAATAAACACGTCAAACGCATACGCACGATGTTATAAATAACGTTAGTTGGAGACAAAAAAATACATTGTGTCATGAATACTTTCAAATGGTGTTTTTAAGTGGCGTTCTAAGTTGCAAAAATGCAGGGTGTGGGTGCGGGTGTGAGTGTTTGTCTCCGCTCCGTCTCTGATTAAACCTCGAGAACCTAGTGACAAAGCTGCGAATGAACATATTTTATTGATAAATAAAAAAACAAAACATGACTACGAAACTAAATACTGAAAAACCTACATAATTCTCATGCTACTCGATGACAATTACTCACTCGAAATTCCCCATTTATCACTACTTAAGATATGACACCGTTAATTATTTCGACCTCATCAGTCATCTACGAATGAGCAAAACACGTTCCATTGATGCATATTAGGGGTGTCAACTTTGCGCTCGGTTCCTAGGAACGGGGAACGCTACCCCGTTCCTCAGCGTTCCGTTTCTAGAAACTGGAACGCAACATACGTTTCTTTCACTTTTAACAGAAATTTTACTAATTCACCGAAGGAAAGCCAATTTCATAAAAATTAGGGATGTCAACGTTCCCCGTTCCTCAGCATTCCGTTCCTAGAAGCGGGGAACGCTACTCCGTTCGCCGTTCTCAGGAACGGGGAACGCTGAACACTCAAACATAAAAAGAAAAGTGAATGTCTAGAGACCTTGCCGTGTTGAAATATAGCGTGGAAATGCGATTTTGACAAGCGTTCCCGTTCCTAGGAACGGAATGCTGAGGAACGGGGAACGCTGACACCCCTAATGCATATAGTTACTCTTGTTTTTCGCTTACAGTTGATATACTGCACGCTATACATTTGAGTAATTCTTTTTCCATTTGCGCAGTATAACATCGATAAACAAATAGAGAATTACTCACCTCCCATAATGTCTGTAGTTTTTTTCCAACTTCTAAAAAACGAACATAACTAATACTTTGAGGAAGTCGTACAATAGTCTAATTCAATTTCAATAGAAATTTAAAACAAAAAACACACTCAATTTCAAACTGAAACAGGAGAACTTGCGAGTCTACAGAGTTAATATGATGTTATACAGCTTATACATCTTTTATTTTTATAGGGTACCTGTTTTATGGGTCTATAGAAATTATATCATACAATAAAACCTATATACTTTCTATTTTCACAAGACATATGATGTCATAAAATTTTTATAGACTCACAAGGTGCACCTTCACTAAAAAAAGCAGTATATAGGATATATAATATGCTATTGATTCTATAAAGTCGTAAGACCGGCATCCTATACAAATGGAGGGTATATAGAGCAGATAATATGATTTACATTCTTGACTAAGCATCAGGCCTCGAAATCGGGCCACTATTTTATGGCCCGGCCCAAAATGACCCTAGGGATGTGGGTGGGTGTTGATCTCGTGTAAATATAAAGGGGAGACTCACACCTACATCCACACCCTCGACACAGGAGTAGTGTCAAGATCTATTCGAAACCAACACAATCTGACGGCCTATGGTGAAGCCCAATCAGAAGAAATTCGACGATTATTTAAACGAAAAAATGGTGCTGGACGATTTGTTGATGGCATGCATGTTATGTCAGGAGAGACATCTCCTGACATAAGAGGGCTCTCTCTA